AATGATCAGCCATAACCTCTATGCCTTCCATTTCTGAACTTAAGACAGCCAAGCACCTGGGAAGAGTTTCACTTCACTCATCTAGAGACACTGTAATAATTCATTTTAACTCTTGATAAATGGAAAATACAGTGCTGCCTAGCCCCAAACTTCCACCATTATAATAAGCAAGTCATTATTCATCTTTAAAATACATTCAAAAAGCATGGACTAAACCAGGTTGTGACAAACACCTGTAATCCCAGCCGTCTGTGAGGCTGAGGCAGAAGGATCAAAACTTTGAGCCCAGTCTGTGTGACTTAGCAAGACTCTGTCTCAAAATTTTAAAAAAATTTTTTTCAAAAAGCAGCTGGGATGTAGGTCAGTGTGAAGGCCCTACGCTCAGTCCCCAGGACAGCATTAAAAAAAGTATATGAACTACACATAAGCTTTCAGAGCAAATCCCTACTATAAAATCTCCAAAGTCCTAAGAAGCCAACTGCTTTGGTTCCCTATATGAAGCAGATCATATTAGGTAACCTTGATGAATCAATTTTGATGATAAAATATTTTAATATATGGTAATTCTATAATCCTTGAGGAATTCTTTCTCTTTTCATGGTGAATCTTGTTACAATTGAGTAAAGTGTTGGTATCTATAGTAATATATGTCCCTTAACAGAACTGATAGACTTTTGAAAGAATAAAAAATGATACCATTTCCAGAACTGACTCTAAGGTTCAGGAAATGATGTATTTGCTATAGATGAAGACTGCTTACCAGAATTAAGATACTGTAGTTTGCTGCAGGTCATACATAATTATTAGTACTCGGGATAACAAGAATGTCTTCAAGAAAAATTTTAATCAAGGAGTAAGGATGCCAAATTATACCTAACTGCCTGTTCCACATTGAATTTAACATTAATGAAATGAATTTTAGTACAAAATTCTAACCAATGATGTGTAACATAATATGAATTTATCCCATATATTTACCAGTAAATTTGAGTTCATAAAGATGATTTTTCTCTACCTAACTGGTTAAATATATCTGGGTGTAACTGAAACTGTGGGTCTGTACTTGTGAAATAACACCGCTTTATGCAGTATTTGAGAAAAGTACAGCTGTGGACTGTTCCTACACATCTACACCAGTATTTTTCTGGGGTAACAGTAATGAAGTTGATCATTTTCTGAAAAGGAGAATCAGTGTTATTGTCTGAATCTCCTGCAGACTTTGCTCCTGTTGAAGAATGAGTTCTGTCAACAGAAATAAAAATGTAATTGTAACCAAAGCTATAAGATGGATAATTTTAAAATTTTACTGTCTCGGTACTGGTAAAGACATCTTGCTGTGTCTGAAAGATGGATTTTAAAGTTTCAATGACTATGTTCAGACAAAATTGATGACACTTGTTTAATTTAGTACCTATGAATAAACAAAGAAACATATTGTCTCTATAATAACAGACCGTTCATTACTAGCCATGAATTTTTTTTACTAAGACTGGATTCAACTGAACATATCTGATAGTAATATAACAGATGTATGCATAAACTAATAAATATTTGTTCTCTGTGGCTTTCATTTTATGCATGATTTAATAACATCAGAATAAAACATGGTGATATTGTCTAATAAAATGAAAATTAATAGTGTCAGTGTTTTAAAAGCAGGTATCATTTTATTCTATATTATCATTTTTAGATTGTTTTTCAAAATGACATATTTGAACAACTTATTTTTAAAGTTTCAAAGACAAGAATTAACAACATACCAGGTACAAAAAAAGTTTTTAAATTATATCATCTAACAAGCTAGATAGACAATAATAACAGTAATGTACCTTTTTCCTAAACTTGGCAGGCCAATCAAAGTCAACCAGGTAAAACTAACAATTTAATCTTTAAGAGGATCTATCACAATGATCATACCATTGTGTCTAATACTCGGAAGGACACATGTAAGATTTGAGGATAACTTTGAGAGAAGAAACTGCCAAAGTGAATTTAGGAGTCTATGTTGATAGTGTGTGGGAATGTACAGTTTGAGTAACAATAAACTTGGAATGAAAAAAGTTGAGAAAAATGTATTTATCTATTTTTTTTTTTTTGACACAGGATCTCATTATGTATTCCGAGCTGGCCTTGAACTCAGTATGTAGTCCAGGCTGGGCTCAAACTCTCAGTGATACTCCTTCCCTCAGTCTCCCAAGTGCTGGGATCACAGGTCTGTGCTTTCCTGTCTGGCTGAGAAAAATATATTTAAACAAAAATATCTCTGCTTAGTTTTGATGTTTAATGTCTCCCTTTCTCCTCTTTGTTTTCTTCTGAGGGTTATTTTTATTAGTATATATTTGCAGTACATTATGACGATTTTCCTATCATAAGGATTTTCCAGACTTAATCTGAAATCCGTATCGTTTATCTCCAGACTAGTCTTCATACTGACATTTTCAGAACGTAGCTTTTACACTGTACCATTAATAAAGTATGTTGACCATATGAAAATGAGATTGCCTCTCAATCACCACACTCAAGAGTATCTTTCCAACTTATTCTTCAATAAAATATGCATATATTTATCTTTGAAAATAAAATGGTTTTGTAATATGAACTCACTGAGAACACTGTTGTGCACTCTGCATGAGAAGAGCTCCTGGCATGCAGTATACATGAAGACAGTATTTCATCAGCAGCAGCCATCATTTCACATTTTTAACATCTCTAAAATATGGGTTTCTCTCTTTTTTTTTTTAAAGGCTAGTTTAACTGGGAATATTTTCTGTTCTTAATGACACATAAAATAGTACCTTTAACCAATGATGGAATTTTAGAACAAGGTGAAATACTGGACTAAATTGAGAAGTGTGTTTTCCTGCTTGCTTTTTATCATCTCCTGATAAACTTGTCTATAGCCTTACATTATCATATAGTAAGCTATACTTTAATTTGAAAAGTACTCAGGCGTACATATCAAAGCTCATATGGAAGTCTAAACTCAACATTCTAATTTCTTCATTTATTCTTTTTGTGGGGTGGAGTAAAAAATAGGCAACATCACAATCCAATTTACATTTTAAGTTTAAAGCACAATGTTCTAGAGCACATCACTAAAACATTTTCACCATGCATAACACAAACTTTAAATCTACTGTACAGCAGCTACCCATTTCTCTCTCCCCTCAGCCCCTTGAAACAATTTTACTTTCTACTTCTTTGAGTCTGATTCAGATGTCTCATATCTGAGTGGCTTATTAGCATACAGCTCTCAAGGTTCATTCAAGTTGTTGCATATGACAGGACTTCCTTCTTTTGAGAAGCAGAACAACTTTCAACTCTACGTATGTGCCACATGTTCTTTTTCTATTTATCCCTGATGGACATTTACATTGCTGGCAGAGGTTGTTTACTGTGAATGATACTACAATGAATATGGATCCTAATTACAATTCTTTTGGATAAATATCCAGAAGTGTGACTTCTGGTGCTGAATCACAAGGTAATTCTATTTTTAAGAAAACTTAATTTGTTTTCTACAACGTCTTCACCATTTCACAGTCTCATAACAATGTATGAGGGTTCCAATTTCTCTATATCCTGGTCAACATCTGTTATTTTGATTCTGATGACCATGTTAACAGGAATAAAGTTGACACATCATCGCTGTCTTGATTTCCACTTCTGTTAATGATTAGCGATAGTAAGGATCTTTTCAGATTTCTGTTTGCTCTTTGTCTTCTTTGGAAAAATGTCTACTCAAATACTTAACCAGATTTTAACCAGGTTATTAGGTTTCTGGTTGGTTTTAGTTTCTGTGTTGTTGTATTTTACTGTTTATTACTGTTATTGTTTGTTGTTTGCTATTTAGTGACAGTTCTTTATATATTTTGGAGATTAACCCCTTAGATATATAGTTTGCAAATATTTTCTCCCATTCTATGTATTGCTTTTTCACTCTTTTATTATCTCCTTTGGTAAGCAAAAACTTTTTAATTTGATGTATTTCTGTCTAGTTTTGCTTTGGCTGCTGCACTTTTGGTGACATCCAAGAAATTGTTTCTAAAGCCAATGTCAAGAAACTATTTCCCTATGATTTATTAAAGGAGTTTCAGTTTAGGAGTATATGTTTAAATTTTAACTCACTTTGAAATAACTTTTATGCCAAATGATGTTCCAATTTCATTCTTTCGCATGTGGATATTCAGTATTTTCAGTACCATTTGTTAAAAGAGACTATCCTTTCCCTCACTACTTATTACTGGGACCCTTGTTGATAGTTGAACACATGGAGCTTTATTTCTTGGCTATTTCGTTTCACTGGTCTATATAACTGTACATCTTCTATTATCTTCTTTTATGTTTGGTTGAGTTTTTATAATGATATTCATTGATTTTTTTTCCTCATTTTCTTTTGTGTATTTTCCTGTTAGGGGTTTACCTTATTATTATAAAATATATTTTAAGCTCATATAAAAACTTCAATCACATAAAAAAATTCTACACTATTAATTCTCCTCTCATACTTTTAAGTCTTTGATGTCACAATTTACTTCTTTTATGTTGTGTAACCATTAACATATTTCTACAGCATTATTTTTAAAACATGTCTTTCAACTTCTGTACCAGAATTAAGTGATTTATGTACCACTATTACAATATCGCAATATTGTATATCTGTATGTATGAGTGTATACACACATACACACACACACACACACACATACAATGTATATACACACATTTACCAGCAAATTTTATACTTTCATATGCTTTTGTGTTGCTTGTTGGCATCCTCTGAAAAAATTTTTTCTTACCATATTATGAGATTCTAGAATCTAAAAACTGTATTTATTTTATAAAACAAAGATCAACAAAGAATATGCACATGTTTTGCTCAATTATAAATGAGACACGAGCTACTGTTGTAATAAGACTTAGGGTACTAAAGGAGTTGTGTTCTCGAAACAAGTAATGCAGTTCTAATCTATGAAAACTTTAACAAATTTAATACCTACCTGTTCCTTTGCTTAGATACGGGGGCTTAAAGAATTTCACAACACCATAGACATTGACAATTGTACCACCCTTAAGTTGATTCAGGGGTGTATATATATAATTTGTCACTGGAGTCTTAAAGAAAGAAAAGACAGTGAATATTTATTAAATATTTACATTTTAAGATCATATTAGCATCATGCTTATAAATTAGCAAATCTATATAACTGCATTTTATCTTATACAACTGCATTTTATCCTTAATCTTTTATGAAGACATAGACTAAAAAAAGGCAATGCACAGGACAGAAAACTTACTGTATAAACCAAGTATTTTCTTCAGAAATAACTGTTTATAAGTGGTATAACTGGCACACCAGCCCATAAAAACATAAAGAAACCAGAAAACAGCATATGAAAACATCAGTAATTAATGAATAAACTGAAGCAATAACAGGAAATGCTTTTAAAATATGTATATCTTCAATGTCTAAGAAAACAGTTTCACTAAAAGCAAAGGTATAATGACTAGGTATAATGAAACATTTCTGAGAGCCTTGAAAGGGTAATTAGAATATCGGTCCGATCGATAAAGAATTCCATGTCTTATAATTTCAAAAAAATTTTTCTATCTAGAATACTCCCAAAGTTATGAGAGATTCTAAGTAATTAAACAAATTTAGCTTTTTTTTTTTTTTTTTTTTTTTTTGGTACCGGGGATTGAACTCAGGTCCTTGTGCTTGCAGGGCAGGCAACGCTGGAACAACTGAGCTAAATCCCCGGCCCAATTTAGCTATATTTTAAGTTAGCATTTCCCTAACATTTTTTTGGCAAAGAAGCCACAGAGTATAACAATTATAATGTTATCAGAAGGAATCCTAAAAAAAAGTTTGAAGGTATTTTATCTTTAATTTATCTTTAATGGCTTTTCTGGCTTTTATCTTCAATATCACTTCAAAACTTAAGTATAATTTCTGTTTTTCTCTATTCTGTTGTAAAGATTTTATTTGGGCATATATAGAGCTAGGTTCTGATTCATTATGGGATAAGGTTAAGAAAAACTGGTAATAAGAGAAAAGAAAGATCAGTTTACTGAAATAACTGTGCTTAAGTGTGGAAAGAGAAGAAAATGGTTTACAGGGCTCTCTTAGCCCTGTAGACAGAAACACTATATTGACCCTGAGAAGGCTTCAGTTGGGTGGGTCCACCATCATCCACCCACCCACAGCCAAACGGGAAATAAAGTTATCTATCACTCTGAAAGATAAAACTTAAAAACTCAAATAAAAATGGATTAATTTTTAATGAAACTGATTCCTCAGGTTAAATACAGAAGAATAGGGCTTAGAAATCTAAACAAACTTTAATACAGAAAAAATCAGTAGCTCATCAATGATGGAAGAAGTATAATAGCATAAGGAACAGAAGAGAGAAGATTTGTGCCTCGCTGACAAGATAACTCCATCCAATATTCTATCCTAATAAGTACCTCTCTAAAACAGAGGAATAGGGAAGGCCAGCACAGCTCAAGATCGACCACTATTATCATCCATGTAACTGGACTTGCTAACTAATGACCAAAGAAACCAGATTATTAATTTAGCTTTCCATCATAAAATATGTCTCCTTTGTAGTCATTCGCTTACAAGTTTGTATAATATACTCTTGAATGAGCATATATTTGAGACTATGATAAACTTATATAATTCCCAATAAGTTCATGTATGTTGGCAGCCAATCTGTCTTGCTGACAATAAAGTACCACATTCCATAAAACAGGATTATGAAGGAGCACTCAATCCGTTTTAAACTAAGAGATAAATGTGTATTGGGGGGATATAGTAAGGGTAAAGTATTATGATCCAAATATGATGTAGCCCCTGAACTGAATTTTTATTTTTAATAAATACACATGCCTAGCTGCTACAATAATAGCTTATGTCCATAGACATGTGGCATAAGATATTAAAACATGTTCATGAGAAAACTGAGTTCATGAGAAAACTATGAATAAAGAGAATCTGATAGCATTTTCATAAGCCATTCAGCATGTAGATCACAAGATCCATATTTCACATAGACATGAATTTTTTTAATGTTCAGACAGTTGAAAAGGAAGCCTGTTATGGAATCAGTATAAATTCAATTCATTGATTTCTTTACTTTTTCCTTCCTTTTTTTCCTTCAACAATGGACCATGTATTATACACAGTGCTGAAAGCTAAATTTGTGAATAAAACACAACCAGTCCCTACACTAATGGAAGGACAGACCAAAAGAGAGGAGGGACGATGTAATAGATGGCTTTAGAAAGTTCCTTCCAGGGGCTGGAGTATGAAGTGGCAGAGTATTTGCAAAGAGTCTCCTCTTGAAAAGGTAAAGGAAGAAACCAATTAAGCGATAGAAACTGGAAATGAGATAAAGCACAATGTTCTAAACAGAAAATAACTCAACATATGAAAATCCTTAAGAAGGTGTACACGCCAGAGTACAATAGCCAAAGGTGATCACATGATTAGGTTGGGTACAAATACTGGGCCTTCAGACCACATGACTTGGCCAGTGAAATGATTTTAAATTCTGAAGATAGGACTAGGTGAAATTATTGTCCTAAGTTGTTTGAAAAGGCAATCCTTTCATTCCTGGAAAATAAAATACTTTTCCTAAATTTTTAAAGCACTTCTGGTTCAAGGATAGACTGGTCACTTGGTAATATATTCCAAAGAAGAAAAATAATCTTTTCAGGGAAACAGTAAGAACCTCATAAACAATAACTGGATGTTTTATTGATAACAGCTGAAAGGTCCATGTTCAGTTTAAAAATGCAAAATGAGCATCCCAGAGCCAGAAAATAAAGTCCGAAAAAAATAAAACAAATTTATTTAATTTAGAATATCTGGACTTTGTGAAAACTATTTTGCCCAGTTCTGAGGCTTCTTCACGTTTGCCTTATTCACAGGTTTATAGATATGCCAAGTATTCGAACTCGATCAATCTACAACAATCTTGAGGAATACTAATGCCTAGGGTTAATTCCCATTCAAAAACCTTTATTAACCCTTTTATTGGTCAGTTTTCCCAAACACTAAATTTTAGTTACACTACAATTCAGAATTTAAAATTTGCATCTTAAAGTCATTGTCAACTACAAAAAAGTCCTTGTACTATTTTCCCATTAAAAACTAAAGGTTTAAACATATAAATAGAATACTGTATTAAACTTTATAAATATATTGTGTTCTTTATAGTTTAATTCAGCTGTATTTTTACAGTGCCTGTAAAAATGGTAAAATTTCCACTGCTATGAGATAATAAAATTTTATAGAAGTTTAAAACAATTATTTAAAAAAGCAAAATATATCAAAATACAGGCTGGCCTAGAACTCACAGTGATCCCCCTGTCTCAGCCTCCTGAGTGCTGGGAGTAACATGCTTATGCCTAGCTAAAAAATTTCTTTTTTTCAAAAAACTTGCCAAATCATAATTCAGCAATCTGTTTAAATACAAACTGATGAAAAACAAAAGAAATGACTTTCCACATAATTTAAAACTAATAATCTAATGTCTTCATGTAGTACAAACATTTTTAATTTAATTTTCTTGCATATGTATAGCTTATGCAAAACATCAGCAGATACTTCAGACAACAGAATAATCGGGTATTAATTACAGTACTAGGCAAATACATAACTCAAATGTAACACTATGAGATATAACAAAAAAGATTAGACTATCCCATTGATGGGAAATCAGACTATGAAACAGACTAACTCAAAATCAAACTATAAAGTGGATATAAATGTATACATATCTATGTGTACATGTATGTGTAAGAATTGGAGTAAGTATTCTAAAATAAATATTGCCTTACCAAAGACATTGATTCTGTGGCAAAATCTTACAGGTTTAACATAAACCTGGAAAAAAAAAGAGAGGGCTTATTTGTATAAAAATTACTTCAAGTGTGATTACAGTGTTAAAATCATTCACAATTATATAATATTTAAAATGGCTACAAAGGCATTACATGGTACAGATTACATGTTAAGAGTGACATGTAAAGTTGTCTAGGCTACAATTAAAAATTAACAGATGTAAGTTCAAATGAAAATGGACTTTAAAAAACAGACAATAAATTGTAAGTACACCAATATTCAGTTTCTAGGACAGACTGTGAAAGACAAAAAACTATCAGTTGAAAGCAAGTAGAAAATCTGAGTTGATATTAAAAAATTTTCCTGCATAGAGCCCTGGACTTTTTCAAAAGGGAAAAGAAACAGAAATGTAGTAGTGATTAGTGTAAATCTCACCCATATTCAACCTAATGTATTAAATTAAATATCAAACAGATCTACTCCTACTTCTCATAATGCCTTCATCCGTACTAGAAAAAAAAATCAGACACATGTGGGCCTGTAGGTTCAGGGTTTGGTCAAATCTACCTAACAACCCTGACCAAAAGGGTGGTTTTCAAGTTGTGTGTAGCAGAAAGGAGCAGAAGAGGAAGAAGACAATAATCATTTTCACAAAGAATAAAATAGGAGAAAATTCATTGTACCTATAATACTGTTATTAATTTAAAATAAAATCCAGTAAAACTATCAAAAGTATCTGGATGCTATTATTACAAAGAACAGGATGAGGTATTCAGTGTCTATATGTCTCTGTAAGTTTCATTAATAAATAGTTATTTGCTAATAAGAATATTTCCATCAACAATAGATTGCATATACGATGGCAGTCCTATAACATTATTTCACCTAGTGACATAATAGCTATCCTAGTTCATTAAGTACACACTATGATCACACATTTCTTAGAACATTTCCCCATCATTAACAGATTTATGACTATCAATCATCATTAAGAGATTTATGATTGTATCTATAAAGGACCTTCTTTTGTATCAGAAGTTATTCTAAATAAAAAATCAAATTTAAAGTAATTGAACTTATTCAACAGCTAGGGCTGATAAAATGATACCCTATAATACACAACTTTGGACTTCAAACTGAGAACACCTAGGGAGCAACAAAAATGGCTTTCTCTGAGGTTCCCGTATGTAAATAAAGACCATGTCCACCAAAGAAGAATGTGACTGGCTTCAGATTTTCTTATGATAATTCCATTTACCAAGGATGATTAAACTGTTATCATAAAGGACGAGACTGATAAACAGCCCACAAATCCAGCACCCAGAAGAACTTTGTATTAGGATACTGTCTGTTCTCCAGACTCATTATTGCCTCTAAAAATCATTTGCTGCCACCCTAAAACTGTTGGTATCTCCCTTCTTACCCATAAAGAGGATACTGAAGTCTCAACTATCAGGCCTTTCTTTGAGTGTCTTACTGTGTAAGGCTCCTGTACATATATATACATTAATGAATTTGCTTTTTTCTCTTGTTAATCTTCCTACTGTCCATTTGTTTCAGTACATTCAATTATTGAACCTTCAGTGGGAAAGTTTGGACTAAAATAATTCAGTCAGGGTAAGTAGTTCTGTACTGATTTACAGAAATACTACTTTTATCTCATCTTTAATTTATTGAAAGAAAACTATGATAAGAAAATAAAAGTTGTACTTACATAAAGAGTTGAGGTCTTCAAATGCTTTCAATGTTTACCATCTTATAAAGATGCTGACAAAACAATAAATCCAGCCATTGCAATAGTGTCCTAGATAGAAAAAGAGTAAATCAATCACTAAATACCTGTAATTCTGAATGTCATATATCCTTACATTATTATTATATTATTTAAAAGCAGAAATTACTGCTATAAGAAGAAAACTGGTTAACCTAAACTGACTGATTTAATGCTTACAGAAAATATGATTCAGACTATCACTTCCTCTGAAAGAGCCACAGAGTATGTTTCACTTCATAGACCAGAAAAACACGACGTAAATCACTGAAACGATTGTATTTAGTGAGACTTTAAAACTTAGTATTTTTCCCAGTTTATGTAAATATGTTGTAAGAACACAGTATGCCCCAGTGAAGATGTAGTTCAATTTGAGGCTTCACGTGTTCCTGGATTTTTCCTTAGAACCTAACTAATAACTGTTCGTGGAAACCCCTGTAATTTTGTGCAAACAACAAATATCCTCCACAATTATTTTTATGGCAGGAAGTCTGCAAGTAGCCAATGAGAAAGCATTATTCACTTCTCCTTGCTGCCAACTGGCTGCTGCCTTACAACCCATTTCCCATTTCAGCAGATTCGCCAGCATTCTCTCACCATAACAGGTTGCTATACCAGCTATAGCTATCTGGTTTTGTTCTTCTTAAAGCCCTAAGATCCCTAAGATGCCGCTAACATGAGCCACCATGTTCAGCAATTCTGTGATTAAAAAAAAAAAACAAAAAGAAAACTTATACAATAGTTTCAAAAAATCCTTATATTAAAACCTCATTTTAAAAAGTGAAAGCTAAAACTGAAGCAAATGCCTTATATTTCTACAAAATGTTTCATTGTCTAGCAAACTAAAAATTAAAACCTTGTTGACATTACTTATAGTGTTTTAGGATTTTGACAAAAGAGAAAGGCATAAAAATCAAATTAGAAAAATTCATTCTTTTATGCAGGAAGTTTTACATTTGCTTTGCAACAATCTTTAATCATGATACTATAACTTCTAAAGTAAATACACAAAAAGCCCTCAAATGATCAATATTCATAGATTTTAAACTCAGGGTTTGAAGTAAACTGTAAACTGAGTTTTCTCATCACTGTATTTTAAGAAATAAAATCTTGACTTATGATCCTATTATTTGACAAGTACTAATTAGTCGCTATACGTCTATTTGGATGACCACCTATTTAATATTTATTTCAATAGTAGAAAACATTTTTCACATTCAGTTCAGTAGCATATATTAAATACCTAATATGTTGTACATGTTTTGTAGATGCATTGTACGCATTTTACAAATCCATAACCCTCTTACATTGTTTCCCAAATAAATATTAAACAAATATAAGAATCCTAAAGAAATATTAAGATTAAAATGTACTAAAAATATAAGCAAATTAGTTCCTAATATTCAGTATCATGCATTTATTTTTGAAATGCTCACTAAGATGTCTAGGATAAAATAAGTGAAAAAACAATTTATAAAACATGATTAGTATAAAGTCATCTGGTGAAAACAGGCATATGGAGGTTTATACTTACACAAACACACACGTGCAGATGTATGTAGACACACATGTAAGCTAGAAGGATACAAATTAAATCATAGCAGTGACTTTACCTATAGAATGGGCTGGGAGATGGCAATGGGTTCAGAGGGGAAGAGGAGACTTGCTTTTTAGATTACATCCTTTCACATTGCTTGAATGTTTTTAAAAGCATGACCACACAAAAACAACAAAATTTTCTAAGATAATATTTGCAAGACCTTATTCAAATTCATAATAATTTTCTCCTTGAGGTAGGAAAGAAAAATAGTCATGGAGATAGATTCTTCACTTACTACAAGTTCTTTAGCCTTAGAGTGGTTGTCTCAATAATAAAAATACAGTAAAAAAATCAAAAGGAGTTAATAAAGGCTTAAATGAGAAACACATGGAAGGTTTTTCCAATCTATAAAATTCCATACAAATTTAGTATCATTTTAGTAATAAGATTTAATTTATTATTAAAAACTAGTTAAATGTTAGATACTGGTTATAATAAATATTTGAAAAAGAAACAATACTTTTTTACCACCTATTCTTTGGACAAAATCTACCTCACAGCCTTTTAAATTCAGTCATATCATTTGCTACTGAGCTATGTAAAATTAAAAAAAGGGTGACAGGAAAAGGAACAGAAAAGTTCTTTAGTTTCCTTAATCCACCAGAAATTAGACTTTATCACTTTATCTCTTTACATCATCCCACTTCAAAATATCCAAATGTGTTGCCCAGAAAATTCTTTAAAAATTATGAATTAAAAAAACACCACACTCTCATGAACACATTCACAGATAAACCTCATGAGGAAAAGGAATTACAAGACCTTCAGGCTCTCAGTTAAGCAACTTTATGTAGAAACAAACAATACATACGTACCTCTCTCATAGCAATTCTACATAAAAAATTTTCTCCAAAGATTTTTTCTCATTTTTCTTAAAAAGTCTCTGCATTCATATTAATACCTGACTCTCACAAACATTTTTTTTCTAAAAATAATGCAAGATTTTTATAAGCTACCAACTTCTAATATCAAATCATTATTTCTGGGTAATGTGGCCTCAGAGTTAATTATTTTTAGAGGTTAATATTAAATTTAGCTATAAAACTATGATAGAATCACATGAAATTCTGTCCTTAAAGAGCAGTGTGTGATAAGTATGGGTTCACAGATCTCTTAATAATGAAATAAAATTCATGGATGATTTCTTCAGAAAAGAAAATATATACATACACTTACATATTTTTAGTCACTCTGAGAACCTCTTACATCCCTTTACACCTAGCATGAGCTATAGTCATCTAGACTATAGCCTGATGGTCCTTTCAGGTAAATTAAGTAAACATTTTAATCGGTATTTAACTCTTGAAATAGGATGTTAGAGCCTCTTCTTGATCATTCATTAAAATGGATGCTGCTCCTTTGAAGAAATTAGAAGTGGGTAGTTCAATGTCTTACTTATTTACAATGTCTTACTTATTTAAAAATGTCAGGAGAGATGAAAGGAAAAGCAAATCATCTTAGCAAGTTAATCATCTTAGCAAGTTGAAAGGGCTCAGACCACAATTTCTGGCCTAGATTCTTGATATCAAAAGTGTGTATCTTTAAAGAAAGAGTTAATATGAAATAAGAACAAAAACTACTTGTCTCGTATACTACAGCCCATAAAAGTTAAATATTAGGAATTCAAAGTATTGTTTAAAAAACTGCTTATGGACACCTAGCCAACTGAAAAATTGGTAAGTATGAATAACATTTGTTTGATGTCATGGTGTGTCTCCTCAATAGTAGGTTGAAATTTAATTACCATTGTAACAGTTTTAGGAAGTAGGGCCTTTAAAAGAGGGGGCTTTACCTCATGAGAGAGATTAAGGCCTAGTATGAGCTCAGCACTCCCTGTCTTCTCACTTCCCACTATGTAAAGCATAGTATGAAGCATTCAAGGCATCACATCAGAACCACAAGGCCAACCCTGCCAGCACTTGCATTATGTACATCCCTGTCTCAAGAACCATGAGCCAATACCTTTCTGTTCACAAAAATTATCCAGTCTTGTACTCTGTTACAAGAGATTAAGACATTTGTTTTTAAACTAATTCTTTTTTGATAGGGGAATGATGAGGTATTAGATGAGGTATCTTTTGAAACTCAGTATCTACATTCAATTGAGTCATTAAGCAACATTTAAAAAATGTTCTCTATTGGAACAAAACACAGTAATAGTCTCTAGTTCAAATAAATAATGATATATGAGTTAACTTTCTAAAGAAGTGACCCTGTTCCTGTTAAACACCTATTTATATTCTAATTTTTATTCATTGTCTTTCTTCTGTCCTTTCTTATTCTCATCATTCACAAAGGATATCTTCCTAAAACAAATGGCGTGAGTTCAGGTCATCATAAACACTGAATTCTTAAGCACAATGGTCATCATTTCAAGAATTAATTAAACTGATACCAGCCATGTATTCAAGAGAAGGAAGAATAATAGTAATGAAGGCAGGCCTTTACTAGAGCTACCCACCAAGAAGAGTGCCTCATCAAAGTAGTTATATGGGGACTTGTTTAGAGCTACTGATTCCTACTCTAAATCCCTCAAGCAGGATTGTATGTGAGCATATGCTTTCTTCTATTTTATTTCCTAGTCCCCTTCTCTTTTGCTTTGTTCAAAGTAGAAATTAGGAAAAATTTAACTGATTACCACCTCTTCACAGAAGTTCTGACTCAAAAAAGAAAAAGATAAAATTTGACTCTGGTAATGTATTCGAGAGGGAGGGAGGGAGGGACAGAGAGAGAGAGGAGGGAGGGAGAGGGAGAGAGAGGGATAGAGGTTCTAAAGATCCTTGAAATGAGTATTTAATCTAGACTCTCAAGACAGATTCTGCAAAAATAGTGCCATTTATAAATCATCACAATTTCTGCAACTATAGTACATCAGAACTATACAGAATTATCAGCTAACGTAACATTAAATTTACATTAAATTTCAATCTGGAGACATTCACTGTTACTCAAAGCATAGTAACTGTAGAAAAGTAAGATGAGAAGCCAAACTCCTGGGCTCAGATGCCCAATTGCTATTTCTCTGCCCTTTTCTCCTTATTTGGTCTGTTATCTACATACAAATAAACAACAATAACAACAGTCAGGTACTGAGCTCCTCCTATGTGCCAATAGCAGATATGTCTAATACTGACAATAAATCAGAAAGGTATTATTATACAAAGATGAATAATAAGAAGGGCTTTGCCTTAGAGATTCAGATAGCCTGGGATTTAGACATTCTAACCTTCTTGCAGTACCCAAAACACACACTCATCCTTCAGAACATTTTGTACTTGCTAATTCCTGTCTAGAGCACTATTACTTCAGGTATCTGAAGGATCACTTCATTACTTCTTTTAAGTCTCTGGTCAAATGTTACTTCAATCTTTCCTTCATCACCAGATAAAAACATACCTTTCTTTCCTTCTCATATACCGTAGTTTATCTCTTC